CAATAAGTATTGACTTTTCCTAATCCAGATCCACAGAATCTTAACTCTAAACTGCATAATTCCATAGCATTTGAAAATATATTTTTGTGTGATCCTCTAATGTGTTTTTATCTGTTAATATTACTAAATGAAGGGCCATTCATCTCACAGGTTATTGTAAAAAAACTGATAAAGTTTTTCAGATAACCAAATTTGAATGGTAATGTAATTAAAAGCAAAATTAACTTGGTGCCTTAAGTATTTGGCACTCCATCTTCATACATGCTCTTGTGTTCCTTCTTTCCAGTTACTCTGTTTCTTGCAAACATAAATAAATAAAAACCCCTTAACATTAGGCAACTAACTTGGTGTCCTTCCTTTAGAGAAATACTTTCCTCAGATAGATATGTTTCTTAATGTGTAAGTAGGTTGCAAAACTCCTTGCCACAGGAGATTTTTGAGGCCATCAATTTAGCAAGATTCAAATAAGGATTGGATATTTAGGTGGCTAACAATATTTAGTTATCTCAATTAGTAATGATGCATTTTGGAAAAGGTGTTATATCTCATGTTTCAGAGCTTAAACCAGTCTCTAATTTGTAGATGCTAGGGTGAAACCTAATGTGTACTTGTCAGGGAGCAGATCATTCCATATCTGTAGGCTTCTTACACTTTCCACTGAAGCATCTGGCATTACCACTGTCAAAATAATGGATAAGACGGGCCTTCAGGTCTGATCTAGTCTGGCAGTTTGTATGTTCCTAATATTGCCATTTGAGTTTGTTTTTCCCCCAGTACTCTGAGGAAATGCTATTTACAGATCAGTTCTGGATTTTTTTAATAGTTTAACGTCTCTGTCTCATACTGCCTCTGAAGTTTGCTCATAAGCTGATTGATTGACTATTGTGCCATTTTTTATTTTATGCTGTTGTAGTGGTCCAGAGTGAGGAGGAACATCATGCTTTGTCCGTCAGCCTCGGCTTGAATTCACCTTGGAAATAGTAGTAGTAATAGTAGTAGTATTGTTTTTCTGTTGATATAGATCTGTGTGCATCTCTCAAGCTCTAGACCCTTTTTGAGTTAGTTAATTTGAATCTAGAAGAAACTAGTGTCCACTTACAATTTGATATTCAGGGGGAACACAGACTGGCTGCATCTAGACTGGCAAGTTTTTCTGCAAAAGCAGTAGCTTTTGCGCAAAAACTTGCCAGCTGTCTACTCTGGCCGCTTGATTTTGCACAAAAGAACTGATGTTCTACTGTCCAAAATCAGTGCTTCTTGCGCAAATGCTTTGATGTTCCTGTTCGGGCAAAAGCCCTTTTCCGGAAATGTTTTTGCGCAAGAGGGCCAGTGTAGACAGCTAAAAACTGTTTTACGCAAAAAAGCCCTGAT